AATTTATATTTTACTGTACACAGACTAGTGAAGGAGTTTGAGTAGAGTTGATTCTATCCCTGTTCTTACCACTTACCACCATGTGCACATTACAGCAGAGACAAAGAAGATGTCTGTGCTGCTCTGAGGACATGGTTAAACTGACCTGTTACTGACATGCCTTTTGTTATGTTTCATTTCCTTCCCTTCTCTTGGGGAAGCATTGAAAATGAACTCCACCATTCCCTCGATGGAAGATTGGAAATTTGCTTTATGGGCATTTTGAGTCCAAAGTAGAATGCACGAATCCATACTGTGAAGTAAATTTAAAACATTGTCACTGTATTATACTGTCAAGTGGCATCTGTTTGCCATTGCACAAGAAGATTGTAATTTTGATTCCAGGCTTTGATTCCACCTACAAATAATTATCTTCAACTATTGTCTTTAGCTCCTCTACAAATTCCATATCATTGCCACAAACTCCCTTCCTAACCTGTTTCTGGTTTAACCAGGCATTTGACAATTTCAACATATTCACCCCTTAGCTAAATTTTTGATCCCTTATTCTCACCATCATAATGACTGCCCACTTACACCTAACTAACTTTGCCTGCATACACTATTAAATATTTGTTACTGAAATGTTTATTCCTGCTTTAATGTGATCAAATCTGGATTCATAATTGTCTTTGTACTGCCTTCCCATTTTGCAGCCTTCAAACATTTGAGCTCATTCAAACCTAAAATTATGGCTGTAAGAGCTGCTCCTTTTTTTTTTTGAGGTATTTTCAGTGTTGGAACTGATTTCCTCAAATTCTAGGAGCAGTAATTACTGGTTTATAAGCTGTTACATTGTTTTGGAATATTGGGAAGAGATCAAAACAACGGCACTTTAAAAAAGGAGGAAGGGAGACAAAGGCAGTGACCATATGGTGGAATTAAATCAACGGAGTAAGAAAGCTGTCTGACCCCGCAATGAACCTTCACAGCTATTGTCTCTGTTGTTTGGTTTCAGTACCTAAAATCATGAGGGGCATGAATAGGGTAAATAGACAAGGTCTTTTTCCTGGGGTGGGGGAGTCCAAAACTAGAGGACATAGATCTTAGGTGACAGGGGAAAGATATGAAAGGGACCTGATGGGCAACTTTTTCATGCAGAGGACAGTGCGTGTATGGAATGAGTTGCCAGAGGAAGTGGTGGAGGCTGGTACGATTACATTTAAAAGGCAGCTGGATGGGTATATGAATAAGAAGAGTTTAGAGGTATATGGGCAAAATGTTGGCATATGGAATTAGATTTATGTAGGATATCTGGTCAGCATGAACGAGTTGGACCGAAGGGTCTTTTTCTGTGCTGTATACCTGTCACACTTCCTGTATTCATATCCTGTTCCAAAGTCGCTCACAAAACTTTAGGTTCAAGTCCCATTCTAAAGTTTGAGTGTTTTTTAAAAAGCTGATGCTTTTGGAGGTGCCACATTTGGATAAGAATTTGAATTAAGGCTCCATCTGCCTCCACTCCCATGTCATTATTTCAAAGATGAGCAATGGAGTTATCCCCAATGTTTTAGCCAATTGGCAACACAAAAAAACTTTATCTGATCAGTTTTACACTGCTATTTGTGGGTATAATACAGTTTCCTACAGTATAATAATGTTTACCGTTTTAATAAATACTTCCATTAGCTGCAAAGTCCTTCGAACAATCTGGTTATGAAAAGTGCAATTATAAATGCAAGCTTCCTTCCGTCCTTTTAACCTTAGTTCCTTCTCCACTGCCTCCAATTTTAAATTCTTATCCTTGTTTTTAATTTTCTCTTCCAGACACTTCATCTCTTCCAAGCACTTCAATCTCCTAAAGCCTACAAATTCTTCTCCTTGAAAATTCTTCTTGCTCCAATCTAATCTTCTGTGAGATTTCCATCCCTTCACCTCAGTTATCAGAGACCTGTCTTCCACAGAGCAGGCTGGCTTATTTGAATTGAGCTTGATTCTTCCCTATTCCTACAGATAAAGGGAATGCTGATAACACTGCCAACTATTGAGGTACTATCAAAATGCTCAACGGCACTTGCACTGATACCACCATATTTTAGAATTCTCTCTCCAAACGCCTCCACTTCTCCATCTCATCCACTTACTGTAAGACGTTTTTTATAAATGCACCTCTGGTCAAGCTTTTTGTTGTTTTTTTTATTTTCACTTTCTTTTGCTCAGTATCTGTTTTTCCTTGCACCTCTATAAAAAGCCTTGAGATAATTTTCTATCTGCAAGCTGTCCTGGTTAATTTGTTTAACATGTAATGTCTGTGCATCTTAATGATTTTCTTTACAATTATTTGAATAAGTGATAAGATGTATTTAAGTGTGTCGATCAAATGTAAATGCCTACTGTGTAAATGCTGACTAGTATGATCACTGCGTGTAAATTGCTCCTTGCTCTTGTTGAGGAAAGAAAAATGATTATCTCTTAATTTGACACATACCTCCAATTATACTTTGAATATTAGAATAGAGTATATATTGTAAAATGCTTAGCCATTTTAATTAAGACTTGTCACTGTTCATTTTAAATGAATTAAACAAGCTTCAATTAAATAAAGAGAGCTTTTTCTTACAGAAGTGTGAAATCTTTTTATATCAATACATGAAAACTCAACTTCGAGATGAAAACAGATTTTCCTCTTAGCAACCAATAAGAATTCATGAATTTGGCTCATGGAATTATTTCCTCAGTTTTTTTTTAAGAATCGAAAAAAAATAGCAGCTGTCAACTTCATTTGTAATATCCAGTCCAGATTATTTAATATTTCTTCATGATAAAATGCTATTTTCAATATCAAAGTAACTTAGCTGTTGTATAATCTCTTTCTGACTCAGTCCGAGCATTAATACTAAAGCAAGATATCGAAATGCTAGACTTATGAAGTAAAAACAAAACAGTACCAGAAATACTCAACGACCTCTATTTCTATGACACAAGAAATTGTTGAAATGTTAATATCTTTGTCACCATGGATGCTGCTTGACCTGGGTATTTCCAACATTTTCTGTTTTTATTACAATTTGGCTAATTTTGAGTATGCAACATTAACTGAGTAGTGGTTGTTTGCAATTTAAGACTTACGAAATATTTCTTGGATTTTTAAAATTTACAAATATTTATTTTCTTATCTTACTGACAGCAGCAAGATGGAGATCATTGATGACAATACAGTAGTCAGAGCAAGGGGGTTACCCTGGCAGTCATCTGACCAAGATATTGCTCGATTCTTCAGGGGTCTGAACATAACCAAGTTAGTATTTAACAAAACAACAAAAGAAGTTGTAATAATGGTACAGTAATACTACTTTCCAAACAATTATCCTCTGGTTCTATATACGTATATATATATATATTTTTTTAAATGTAATTGTCATCTTGTTCAGGTTGGTCATCTTTTTCTTTTCTTCTGTCTCTGCATGTCAAATTTTATCTCCTTCCTTGTTAAGAGAGCATGTCCTCTTAACCTGTTTCCACCCCACCAATGTCAAGTGCATAAATTTTAGTTGAACGCTTTTCAGCAAAAGAAATTGACAATGTGAGAAAAGAATCTTTTGGATACAAGTCAAATAGAGAGATTGCAAAGGTCTGTCCTGGCCTTGTGATTAATTGTAAATGAATTGAGAACATTGGAGTTTAGTCTTTGCATTTTACATTTCTGCTATCAAATGAATATTCCCAATCCCTGCTCTGCACCTCTGTGCAATGACATAGTTGAAATCTGGATTTAGTCCTTTTTTAAAAATTGTGATGCAACTCTATATAAATTCCAGTTTGTTTAATCTCTTTCTCCCATCATTCCTTTGAGTTAAAAATCATGGAATAGTACAGTACAAAATAAGACTATTCAAGTCCTCATTAGCTCTTGAATCTAATTAATGTCACTCCCTCTTTCTCATGACCAGACACATTTTTTTCCTTCAATGCAATTCCCTCATGAAGGGAACGTGTACGCACTACCCTATCAGTACATTTTTAAAAATCCTTGAGTCATCCCTGCTTCTTTAATTAATCACTTATTAAATATGTTTAATTTGATTTTAGCAGGGTTTGACTTTAAAGCAAAGTTTCTCTTTATTTACTTGGTAAACAGTATATGATTTGAAATACCACTCTCACAGTTCCTCTTTGCCTTCCCCAGTCTAAAGACAAAAAAACCCATCTTCTCCATTCTAACCATGTAACTAGAATTTGTCATTCTTGGAACCATTCGAGAAAATCTCTTTGCGTCTCTAAAGCCTTCAATTTTTCTGAATGTGTGATGCTGAGACTTGGACCCAAATTCTACCTGGGCTGAATTAATATTTTTATTTAGGTTCGGCTGCATGATTGTATATAGATTTTTGTTAATGGACTAGTTATGCAGGGGCTTAGACTATTGACCAAAAGGCATGGATTTATGTGCTCTCACCAAGTGTATTTTCAGTGGGGGAGGGTGTGGGAAGAAGTAAAATAGGTCAGACGGCTAGCCCGTCACCTTCCTACCCATGAGCTCCTCCACTAATACTGAGGCTGGGCAGGAACTGAGATCAGCAGCCCACCGACCATATGTAAATAAATAATTGAAGGTCAATTCAGCATGTTAATAGCACAGTTGACCCTAATATAACCTTGTTTATTGCCAAAGTATGTTTGGAGCAGGCGACCCATTTCTTAAAAAAGCTTTTGAAAAAAGCATGAAGGAAGGGATACATCTTTTGAAGTGTACTCTTCTTTAAACCTACCATGGTACCAAAGTTGCCCATGAGCTATGCAGCCATGTGCATGTGTGCGTGCAGCTAGAGTGTTCGTGTACGGTGTTTGGCATGCTGATGTCATTCGCAGGGTTGATTCTGGTTGTGAATGTCGATGACTTTGGAGGCCTATGCAGAAGAAAAACGTTATTAACTATTAACAAGAACACTTCCTTCGGCCACCCATAGCTCCCTCCTTTAGGTCACACACCCCACCCCCATCAACACTTGCCTAAAGCCCTTGATTGACCAGCATCTGGCATCTATGGGGACCTACCTGGAGTCTCAGCAGTGCCCAGAATGGGATTTTGGGCAATCAATGTATTCCTTGACCAGGAGCCCATTGGAAATGTCTGGTAGCTCCAGATGATGAGGCCTTCTCTCCATTGAGGGGTGGAAGTCCCACTTTGCATTAATTTTAACCATCCACAGCACTTAATTATTGCAGGCTAGGCACATTCTTCGTCTGTCAGTTCACTGACATCCGTCCAACCCTTGTCTTTCCTCATACCTAGATTCATTGAAAAACAGAACTCAAGAGCCAAAATAAGCCATTTGGTCCTGTGAACCTGCTCTGCCATTACGATTATGGCTAATCTGGTTGTGGTGTCAATTCAACTTTGATGCCTGACCCCCATACCATTGACTCCTTGTCTATCAAAAAATCAATTTTTCTGCCTTGAATAAATTCAATGACCTAGCCTCCGCTGACTTGACTCTTCCTATATCCTCCATAAATTTGAGGTAATCTGAAACTGTACTGTTCATGCCGGAGCCCTCAGCAAATTCATTTCATATTTCTGTTCCCCTACTTATGTTAGCACCCTGTCAAGCAACATCTTGATTTTAAAATTCTTATCCTTCTTTTCAAATCCTTCTATTCTTTCATTTCTTCTCCAGCACCACAACCCTCCAAGATTTCTGTCATACCTTCTTAAATGGGTGTGAAACAGACTGATCAAGAAAATACGCCTGAACACACCTTTGAAATATCTCCCTCTCCCATCCTTAATATAATCACCGATCTAGTCAATATTGGAGACAGCTAAAGCTAAAGTTCAATTAGAAGTAATTTAACTCACATTATTGTGGCTCTAAAGATCTTGGATGTCTTGGTAGAATTGTAGATCTGCTCTTCTACATCCTTCACATTATTTGGTTGTCAGTATGATACAGTGAGTAGCATATTCACTCCTTTCTTGTCTTTTGCTTCTAAGTAGAGTCTTTCACTCCTCATCCTCCCTTTCAAGCTGTGCAATATTTTATTTCCCTATCTTTGCTGATACTTATGGATATTAACCATCCAGTCATCCTTTTCTTTATGAGATAGGTCTCCGTTATAAGTACCACCTACAAGGTACAAGTCAGGAGTGTGATGGAATACTCTCCACTTGCCAGCATCAATGCAAGAAGGTTAATACCATTTAAGATAATGCTGCTAGCTATCCCATTTGCTGCCTTCAATATTTGTTCACTTCACCACTGATACACAGTGGCAACAGTGTGCATCATCCTCAATATGCATTGCAGTGATTCACCAAGGCTCTTCCGACAGCACCTTCTACCAGCTAGAAGAAAAAGGGCTGGAGATGGTATGGGAACACTACCACCTGCAGGTTCCTATCTAAACCACAATTTTCTTCACGTGGAACCTTTCCTTTGCTGTCAATAGCTCAAAATCCTGAAACTCCCTCACAGCACTGTACTTAAATGTACACCCCAAGGATGTGTTGCAATTGTTGAAGAAACAGCACATCATCAACTTCTCTAAGGCACTTGGGGATGGATAACAAACGCTGGCCTAGTTAACAATGCCCACATTCCATGAATACATTTTTTAAAAAAAAACAAGATCCACAACTGCCCGGCTGACCACTGGAATATCAAATTACCACCGCATACCTGCTTTTGTCTCACAGGACCCGACACCTTAAAATTTTGTTTCCATTAATGGTGTGCAATGCTGAATACTGGTTGAGGAATAGCATGTTTCCAAATCATTTGTTTGCTGTCATCCTCTTCCTCTCCTTTGTGGTTCCCACTTACTTACAACTTTGAACCCTTAACGTTAACTCTGATTTTTTCGTCACAGATGCTGTCAGACCTGCTGAGCTTTTCCAGCAACTTTGTTTTTGTATCTGGAGGCTGACTACTTCCTGCAGCCTTTGATCCAGGAAACTTTTCACTGATTAAATGCTGTGCAGCGGATCCAATTGCACCTCAAGCTTAGAAATCCCTTAGTGTGCATTGAGGCAGCTGGTGGTGTTTCCTGCAAACATAGGCCTCCAGGCCACACATTCTATTGTTGCTCCTTGATTCAAGTATTGCAGTTTGCAGCTCATGTATGTCTCTTAATTCTAGTTAGAATTATTCAAATAAAATTTTTAGATAAAGGATGATATATTTGGTTACAGTTCCTCTAGGCATAAACTATATCAATTTTCTACATCTTGCCCAAATTAAATCAATCAAAGGTCAAATTCTTTATCTAAATTTAACAAGAACCAATGAGATACTGAATTCTTATATTAGAATCCATGGATTCTATTCGTTGAAGATTCTGTAAGCAGTTGCAGTCATTACAGATATTGTGTTATTCATTTTGCTGTTCGGTATTGTTGGCTCAGCCAGCATTTTTTGCCTATCCCTAGTTATCTTGAGGAAGATGGGAATGAGCTGCCTTCTTGAAACACTTTGCTGTGCCCAGCTAAGTCTACAAAATCTGTGTTTAGCCTTATATATCTTTATGCTACTTTATTTTACAATATTTTCCTTTCTGTACTAAAGACTCATGCTGGGTATGATTTCGCGAGAGCTGAGTACTCTTCAGCAACTTGCTAACATTGCTACTCCTCTTATGTGTACCTGGACATCTGAGAATAATCAAACTTCACGACCATAAAACCAACTTCCTACCTACACCCTCTTCCCCCAGCGTGTGCTTCAGGGCATTTTCCATGAAAATCATTGGACAATGATCATAGACTCATAGAACCTCACAGTGTAGAAGAAACCTATCAACCTGTTGTGTCTGCTGACATTTTTAAAAAGATTAGTGCTTAGTTTCACATCTCCGCTTCTTGTCCATAGCCCCGAGAAGTTCTTCATTCCCATTGTTTGTTAATATTCTCTGCTCCCAGGATAATAGTCCTAACTTTGAAACTTCAATCTCTCATCCCTGGCAATGTGCTTGTAATCCTCCACTGTAACCTGGCTTTTACATCAGATAAAGCAAGTTTAGTTGATGTTCTCCACCTTCAGCTGCTGTCCCATCCAACTGCTAACTTTGAGGTGCTGAATTGCCTCTATCAGTGTCCTGGCTACATATACTAAGCCTCAGTGCGGACTAAAGGTCAAACCTGGGACCTTATGTATGTATGGCTTGCTTCCATACTGGATTGTGAACTTATAGCAAAGCCATTGAAGAACCTTACATTATACTTTGTTTCATCTGCATTTGCTGTTTATTTTCAGCTTATTAGCTCAAAACAAAAATGTGGAAAATTATATATTTCGGATGAAGTAACCTCTTGGTTTTGGCACTTTTGTTGACATGCAACTGCTGCAAATATCAAGATTAAAATGGACACTAGGTTTTTTCTATAATTCACTAAAGATTTACAAAACTATTACAACTTGAATTTTACATTACCAGTGGTACTCCTTGAATCCTAATTTGACAGACTGTGTGTAACTCAAGATATGGCATCTTTGGCGATCACCCATACACACCAAAAATACAACTTATTAAAATTAAAATGATTAAGTAAAGAAAAAAGTAAAAAAAAAACTTTTTAAAAAATGATAGTAAATAACAATTCATCATTATTACAAATAGGTAACTGCAATAAAACTAAAGTAATCAATGTTTGGATGACAAAGATAAGTTTCTTGAATTTAGTTCTTGCAGTTGTCGATCTCTTCTGGAGTGATCTGTTGGATAACTGTCTACTAATTCACTGGAAATGCCTAATGTCCTCCATATAGAATTATATTGTTTACATTCACTTTAAATTCCATAAGTTCACAAAAAATACTCTTTGGCAAGGTCTTGAACTGAATTTAGCTTTTAAGTGTTTTTTATGATCTTTGTACTGCTTTAGATATAGTTTCCAGTGGTGTTTTATTTTGAGGGTGATATATGAATAACAATGTTACATTAAATGCTGTGCTGCTTCTGAAGAGTATTTGTTTGAGGAAATGACTGGTACTTTAAGGATAGTGATTGTTATCACCTTGAAATTCTTTTATTCAGATTAAAATTTATGCTTAATCAGTTATATTACTTTTTTGGGAGAAGATGTATTCATTTCATTTTCTGTCAATGTGTTTGTCTGAGTAATATTTTTCAGCCCTTAGTTATGAGTGTTCCAATGCTTATTTAAAGGGGTGGTGTCGCATTGTGCCTAAATTCACAGGGAAGACGAAATGGAGAAGCTCTTGTAAGATTCATTAACGGTGAACACAGAGACCTGGCCCTGCAAAGACACAAGCATCATATGGGAAACAGATATATTGAGGTATCTATCATGAATTCCTTGAATCCTTGAGGATTGCTGAGTCATGGATAATCTGTAACCTGTACGTTTATATATCATACGCAGTTAAACCTCTATGACATTTCTCAACATTTTCCTGCACTGTCATTTGTGAGCGTGACATTTTCAATGTATCTTTCTGTTACGTTTACAGTTGATAAATTTCAAAATCGGTAGTTTCCATTTATTGATCCTCTTAATCAATGTTTACAGTTATGAGGAATATTTAATTTAGCACAAACTGATTCTGCATGAATAATGCTGAAAGCTTTACAATATTTGAGCTATGAAACATTCACATTTACAGAAATAGATACATTCATGACTAACGAAAGAGTGAATGGCCACCAGAGATATGTGGGAGCACCGAGTTTAGTTCATACTCCTATCAGGCAAGATCTAATTGAATGATGAAGCGGGCTGAATTGACTCCTACTGCTCGTAATTGGGACGTTCATTGTACTAATTTGTATTAAATAGTGAAATGAACTACTTTAAAAAATAATTAGCATTTATTTAGAGTAAAACTGAGAAATAGTCATTTCTAAGGGGGCACATCTTGTGCAATCTATACAACTAATGATTTAAGTGAAGTTTGACAATGCTGTACAAGTAATCAGAATCATCAGGGCAACATCTCTACCAATTGGCATCAATTTGCCAACCAATTGCCAACCAAACAGCACTCTCATCTCAAGCAATATAAATGTCATTTACCCTTTACATCGGCATTGCTTGAGGTTGTCCTAATGAGTGCAAAACAAAAAGCTTCAAAATATGACTCTTTTCAGTAACACTTACATTCAGCACTGAGAAATGGTTATTTATATAGTGTAGTACCTTGGCCAAAAGTTTCTTTTACTTCATCAGTGAATTCGCTGAAGTTAGTCAAATATAATTTGCCTTCAATAAATCTGTTAGTGGCTAACAATAGGCATGGTGGCTCAGTCGTTAGCACTGCTGTCTCACAGAGATGGGGACCCGGGTTCGATTCCACCCTCAGTCGACAGTGTGGAGTTTGTACATTCTCCCCATGTCTGCATTGGTTTCCTGCGGGTGCTCTAGTTTCTTCCCACAGTCCAAAGATGTACAGGTTAGGTGGATCGGCCATGCTAAATTGCCCGTAGTGTTAGGGATGTGTAGATTAGGTGGGTTATATGGGGATGGGTCTGGGTGGGATGCTCTGTGGGTCGGTGTGAATTTGTTGGGCTGAAGGGCCTGTTTCCACACTGTAGGGATTCTATGAACAATAATAGGTTATTTTTGGTAGAAGTACATGTGATGACGAGGGCTGGTGTGGTTGGATAAGAACATGGGAGATGGTGCTCAGGCCCTAAAATTATTGAACTCTATATCGACTCATGAAGGTTTCAGGGTTCCTAAGTGGAAAATGAGATATTGCTATTCCAGCTTGTGCTGAGCTTCATTGGAGCACTGTAGCAAGGCCAAGACAGTGATGTTGGCCAGGGAGCACAATGGTGCATTGAAATGGCAGGCAATCGAAAGCTTGGGGTTATTTGTACAGACAGGACATGGAAAGCTGAACTATATAGCCATATAATAAGGCCCAAGTGGTGCAGTGGTCGTGGCAGAAGGCCTGGGTTCAAGTCCCACCTGCTCCAGGGATGTGTCATAACATGTCACAATATTTAAAAATATTTATAACCAAAAGATTAGAATGCATTTTGTAGAAGATAGGATCAAGATATAGTATAGTGTTCTGATTCTGTCACCGAAAACATAATAGAAAAATAGAGATTTTTTTCAGCACAAACAGCAAGTGTCAAATTAAAGACCTTGGAGACATATGGGCATAGAAGAAACAAATTTAGAGTAATCAGTATAATTCTAATACTGATATCAAGAAGTCATTTTTCATATAATGATCGACATGCAGAATGGACTTCCAGAATGTAAGTGTTACTGAAAAGAGTCATATTTTGAAGCTTTTTGTTTTGCACTCATTAGGACAACCTCAAGCAATACCAATGTAAAGGGTAAACGACACTTATATTGCTTGAGACGAGAGTGCTGTTTGGTTGGCAATTGGTTGGCAAATTGATGCCAATTGGTAGAGATGTTGCCCTGGTGATTCTGATTACTTATACAGCATTGTCAAACTTCACTTAAATCATTAGTTGTATAGATTGCACAAGATGTGCCCCCTTAGAAATGACTATTTCTCAGTTTTACTCTAAACAAATGCTAATTATTTTTTAAAGTAGTTCATTTCACTATTTAATACAAATTAATACAATGAACGTCCCAATTAGGAGCAGTAGGAGTCAATTCGGCCCGCTCGATCATTCAATTAGATTAGAGGAAACAGTGGAGGCCAAAGTACAGGTATTATTTCAGAAATATTGGATGCTGCAAGGGGTTCAGAATATAAAAAGTAAGATGGGCCAGTTATCATAATTTTTGAAAATCAACTGGATTGTGCAGTCTATTTTTTCTGCTTTTCAATATTTTACACCTTGGGGTTAAAAAGAGTTGTAAATGGTCTTTTCACTTATCTTTCTACCTAAGTTATCTGTCTCTCACATTGCTGTAGCATATGTAATTTTCTTATATTATCTGAGTGCAACACAGATTAGGTGTATGGCGATAACAAGGTGTAGAGCTGGATGAACACAGCAGGCCAAGCAGCATCAGAGGAGCGGGAAAGCTGACGTTTCGGGCCTAGACCCTTCTTCAGAATTCCATTTAAGATATTGACTATGTTAACTTACAGCTAAACTCATATATATAATAGCTAAACTAATATATAGAGCACAGAGTAATTTCCAGATATAACCTGCGCTTTGAGTGCTCTGATGCAGACAGTCTGTGGTCATGTGATGAAATTTGGGTACTTCATTCCTTCATTAAAGGGGCATCACTTCAAAGCGATAATGCAATACCATGCACCATTTTTGTTCTTTTATTTTGTGTTTAATATATTTTGAATGCCACAAATAGAGTGAATTTCATGTGACAACTTGCCCTTTAAAATTGAATATTTATAAAACATTTATGTGTCAATGATAGAAAAAAACTTGCATTTGAAAAGTGCCTTTTACAATTTCTGGGCATTCCAAAGCACTTTACAGCCAATGAAGTGCTTTTGAAGTGTATACTGAAAACACAACAGCAAATTTGCACAATATTCTCATTGTTAAATCTTCTCCAGGTATACAAGGCAACAGGGGAAGATTTTCTGAAAATTGCAGGAGGTAAAAAACTTTCGGAGCATGTGTTTCTTGTACTTTGATGTTACTTTGCAATCCAAGAAAATAGAAATACACGCTTTATGGATCAAATTTAACATAATAAACTGATAACATGGAGGGAAAAGTTGACAGCTGTATAATCAAGATAATCTGATGCGCAAATTCAGTATTCAAATGCAGAAATTTAATACTGAATGGCAAAGAATCAAAATATATGGAAAACTACGTTTGCTAATGAAATCTGGATGGGCATTTCTGGTTTGAATTTCAATCAGGTTATTTGGATTTGCCAAGCTACCAACTGTCAAAACAAAAGCAAACAGACTTTAGGGTTTAACTAGGAGAATAATTGGTACTAAGTCAATCAGTTGTTTGATTTTCATAAACCATCGACTGCTATATTTCCTTCTTTATCATCCTGTACTTTTCCCTACCTCCTGATGAAGCTGACAAGGGTACAGTTCTACAGGAATCTGCCATTTTTAATTTTCTCCCTTCATGTCCCTAAAGCGATTGCCCAACAACAAAGTAGTCAGGACATCTTGATAAATTATGATCCCGAATTTGTCGTTGTTTGTGCACGTCGAGACTGTGGTGTAGACTGGCAACCAGTCACTGATCTATTGACCCAGAATAAACTCAAAGTAGAAGATTTCAAACTTGAAAAAACTATGTATTCTGAAAGTGTGAAAAATGCCCCAACTATAGACATGTACCAAAATAATTGCTTCAGAACCTATGGTTCAAATCATTTGTTTGGCTAATTTTTGCTGTACTGTTAACTTATAATTAGACCTTCATATGATATGCTCTATGTGAATGTATGTGTATTATTTTCTTCTATTAGCCACTTACAGTCACTTTGAATCTTTTCAGGTACCTCCAATGAAGTCGCACAGTTCTTATCGAAAGAAAATCAGGTTATTATTCGTATGCGTGGTCTTCCATTCACAGCCACAGCAGAAGAAGTCTTGACATTTTTCGGATCAAACTGCCCAATAACAGGTGGTAAAGAGGGAATCCTTTTCGTCAAATATCCTGATGAGAGACCAACGGGTGATGCTTTTGTATTGTTTGCCTGTGAGGAGTATGCCCAAAATGCTCTCAAGAAACACAAGGATATCTTGGGCAAGCGGTACATTGAACTGTTCAGGAGTACAGCAGCTGAAGTACAACAGGTTAGTCGTGTCATACTTTTTAGGTTCGCGTCAATTAATTCAATTCATGAAATGGAGGATTGAAAATATCCTGACGGCACCCTTTTCCAGCTTTCTCTTTTTCATTACCAATCATTGTCTTTGAACTGGTCAGTCTCGTTTAGTAAACTCCATCAATAAAGGTGGTGTGTTAAACTTCAGATCTGCTCACAGCTTTGCTGTTACTTGAAGCACCAAAGTGAAGTGCAACTAGAAGTCTTGGATAGTCACATGCTCTATTTTGATATTTCTTCAAAATCATTTGCCTGTTCATGTTCTTTTCTGTCTTCCTGATTTCATTAGATGGCACAAAAGAGAATGTCATTCATGTTGTTTGTATATATTTTTGCAAATGGTCATACTCAGATACAACAATGCACATGTGGTTTCATGAATGCTGTGTAGTGCAGTGAATACAGGATTGGGAAAATTGAGATCCATCAGGCCAATTCTATAGTTAGGAGATATGGTGCTGTATTGTGGCTTAGTTTGCCTGTTTGTAACACTAGCCCATTTAAAATGAACTGAGTAACAAAGAGTGATACAATTGCAAAAACCTAAGGTTCCTTTTCAGGTAAAGTTTAATGACCTCTTCGCTAATAGTTTTGATGCTCTGCCTGAGAAAACTAATCACACCATGATCATGCATCAACAAATTTCAGAAATGGGCCTAAAATAGAAGTTGGACTCCCTGATCTGCACAAGCAATGGACATGTCACAGAATATGGCGGATCCTTCAGCTTGAATTTCTTGGTCTGACTATTCAAATTTTATACATACAGGATGGCCATGTATCCAAAATACGAAATAACTGATATTACCCCAGGAATTTTACAAAAGCATGAAGAACAGTTGGGAGACTATGTTGGTGGTTGGAAACCAAAAATATAAACCTGCCTCTGGTTTCAATCCAGACTCAGTTCACGTTAATTTTGATCTCTCTTTCCATGCAAAAGTAATATAAAGGAAAGAGAATCGAATTTAAAAACCCACTATAGTTGGCACTGAGTTTTCAGTAAAGCATGATGAGGCACAGGCATCAAGTAATGGCTTTCCCAGCAGTGCTTTGTTATTAATGATCTGGTGGAGTGTTAACCCCAATACCAAACTACAACTGCTTCCCCAGCTATATGAATAAAAAAAATCTGTTTGCCAGGATTGCAAAAAAAATGCTTTGAATTTTCAGGAGTACAATGCATTATTGCGATGTAGTGAATAAATACAAGAAGCATGTTAAGCAAATTTAGTGACAGCATTACCTACTTGTGTCCTCTTCCATAAGGATAAAACTAACATGGGGGAAAATGTAGATCCAAAGCAACACTGCTATATATTGGCAGTACCGCAACATAATGATGAGGTGGGCAGTCAGAAGCAAGGGTAGGGACTTGGTTGTCAGTTGCCACCCTCCCATTCCATGTTCTTGCCCTCATTCAAGCAGAAATTACAGCCTGGTGAGAGCCCCTGCCTCTTCAATTAGCAGGCAACCTACACAGAGTAGCTGAAGTGAATAGAATAGATGCATTCAAGGAGCAGCTCAATTAGCTCATGAGGGAGAATGGAATGGAAGGATATGCTGATCATGTTGGGAGGTTTAGAATAGACTAGTTATGCCAATGGCCCATTTGTCATAGTTCATATTTCATAACAAAATATGTAGAATCACTTTACTTCAACAAGACAGTTCAGACATGTATTTATCTTAAAGGTCTCCTTGTGTAGATTTTTAATATTTTAATTTGAACAACAAAACCCAATTCAATAAGTTACTGAGATAGTAGGAACTGCAGATGCTGGAGAATCTGAGAAGGGTCTAGGCCCGAAACATCAGCTTTCCTGCTCCTCTGATGCTGCTTGGCCTGTTGTATTCATCCAGCTCTACACCTTGTTATCTAAATAGTTACTGAACTAGTTTTAGCAGTTTCTAAAATTTGAAATTTCAGGGAATTTTCCTTAGGTATTTGCTTTAGAAACTTGATATCCTTTTTTGATGTTTAAATTCTCTACAGGTCTTTAACAGGTATACTTCCACTCCTCTCATGCCCATACCTACTGCTCCAATCATTCCTATGATCCCCCAGCCATTTGTGCCATCTACTAATCTGCGTGACTGTATTCGTCTGCGAGGCTTACCTTACACGGCTACTATTGAGGACATTCTACAGTTCCTGGGTGAATTTACTTCTGATATACGACCTCATGGAGTGCACATGGTGTTAAATCAGCAGGTAAGAAAGTAAATCAAATTTTATCGAGAATCTCTCATCAATTTTAGTGTGTTAGTAGCAGTGTGTTAGATGTGATATATGTCAGGAGGGAGACTCGTTCAAAGTTAAAATGACAAGTAATATAATAGTATTACTTCTGCAATTATGATCTAATGCTCATTATCTAGATAGGTTTATTATGGTTTACTCAGTTATGGAAAGTGCTAATTTTTGAAAATTTCGTGCAGCAAACAGGTCTCAAATTGTGGAAGAAGCTTGGCAGGTCTCTAGAGGCAGCCTTCCTGCATCAGCCTGGGGGCCAACACAGCCTCACTATTTTAGTAGCCATAGTGATGGACTGGTAAATCATTTTCTTTAGAGGATTCCTCTACTTTGAAAAATGCTTATGTTCACTTTCCTGTAGCATTTTTCAGCTCCTCTGGTTGAGCTGCTGGCAAGACAAATTGGCAAGTCCGCAAATTGGTCTAATAATGGATGAGTCAGTCAGAGTCAGACCAGACAATTGGTTGTCTCCAGTATGATTACACACATGAATAAGTAGGTATCAGCAGGGTTCAGGCTCACTTATAGTCCCAAGTTCTGAAAATCTTTAAAGGAGGTAAGATTCCACTGTATGGAAAATGTCTCCCAATGAGTAAGTATGAAATGGAAAGTACAGACTGACAAATTATCCGAAAAGAACAACTTCCATCAAAACTAGCTTTCTTCCCAGTAAAGAGTAGATTGGAAACTAAGTCTGAGTTTATTGAATTTCTTTAGTTTTTCTAGCATGGTTAATAAAGCTATATCAGAGAAGGGATTTCTTTCTGAGAAGGGAGATATTTGCCAGACTTATTAACAGAAGCACAATTACCTTTTAGGGTCGTCCTTCAGGTGATGCCTTTATCCAAATGAAATCGTCAGAGCGAGCATTCCTGACTTCTCAGAAGTGTCACAAAAGAACGATGAAGGACAGATATATTGAAGTATTCCAGTGTTCAGCTGAGGAAATGAACTTTGTGTTAATGGGTGGCATTTTAAGTCGAAATGGGTTGTCCCCACCGCCACGTAAGTTACCATGTAAGTTTGCTTAGCGCTTGGTGGTGCTCTACTCTGCTTGCTGGTAGGTGCTGGAGCTTTATGATTCTTTATATTCCGGGTCCTTTGATTCAAAAGGTTTGGTGCTATGTTCTGAATTTCAGTGGTCTGACTCGTACTAGTTTATTCTGCCTTTGGTTGCGGTTGGCTAAATTTAAGAAAATGTTATTCATTTAGGCTTGCCATGGAGTTTGATGTAGCATATATTCTATTTAATGCTGTCCTTGCCAATTCAAATCAGGTTATTAATGTTAAGTTCAAGTACAATCATTAAAAGTCATGATGACTTATTGAACAATCGAACAATAGATTAACAACTATTTCTATGAAAAAAACATTAAAAGCTCCCAGAAATAAAAAAAAAAATGTGCTGGTGTTAAATTTACCAAAAGGTCCCTAGTTTGATGGCTGATTGTACTAATGTAGCTGGTCTCTGTCAAGTGATCTTAATGTTATCCTCCCTCTTCCAGGGCGTACAGTCCAAAGATGAAGCGACAGTGCTTGACAGGCTAACCTTTCCAGCACTGAGTGTCATATAGAAACTACAGTACTATAATAGTGTATCAACATGCCAGCAGTACGAGCATAACAGAATAAAGATATTGCCATCAGTACCCTACGGCCAGAAATTAATGGTGAACGTAAAATCAGTGCTGCAGATTGGTCACAAACAACTCCCCTATCATTATCTCGAGTTTTATTCAGCAGTCTTGTGCAAAATGGGTGTTCTACTTGAATGAAATTTTTCATATTGCTCAGAGAGCTTTAAGTTCATAGGCGATGTTTGTAACAGTTATACGTGAACTTCCAGACTGATCTTAATTTATGTTTACAGACACTGATGTTTTAATTCCATGGCAAACCTATAACTAGTACATCCTTTATTTCTGACTGGGTTTTTGCAGTTCTCCTTTTTGGAACAAAACCAATCTGCTGAGGTAGTAATTGCGGTGAGGGTTAGGTTGAGTAGTAGCTGCTTGGTGAAATAGTAAAAATGTCTTTGTTTAGTTCAGGAAGGTCGGTGTAAATGGGAGCTATGGGTGAGAGAGACTCCCCAGATAGGTGTTCTAAGGACTGTTAAGCAATTTCGTGTGCGATTTCAGCAATTAAACTCATCCATAAGTGTTACAAAGTGTTCTTTGCCAATCAAATGGGCTTGCTAATGTTGATACCTATTTTTCAGTTACATGATGCCCCTAGTCAGCATTATCCAAAAGCATTAGTTTTTATATCAATCATGATGATATCTGGCCATCCTCAACAGTACCTGTTTTAATTTATCCATTATTGCTAAATTATGAGAGTGATTATCTAATATCTACTACTGGGTCAGCAGAAATTTCCTCCAATTAAATATTTGGAAGACTGCAACTATTGTTTTCCATCCTCACACCAAACTTTGTTCCCTAGCTACCAACTCAATTCCTATTCCTGACAACAGTCTAAGATTAAACCAGTCTGTCCACAAAGTAGGTGACATGTTTAACAACGTGACATGAACTTCTGACTTCATTCTTGCCGGTATTAAGTCTGCCTCTCTTCACCTCTATAATATTGCCTGACTTTGTCCTGCCATCTCAGCTTATCTGCTGTTGAAACCTTCATTCATTCCTTTGTTATTTTGACATGCAACCATTCTGATGCACTCCTGGCTGATCTTCCACATTCTATCCTCAGTAAACGTGAAATCATTCAAAACTCAGCTGCCCATGTTGTAACCAGTAACTCGTCTCATTGGCTGACTTTTGCTCACAGTCAGTGTCTTGATTTTAGAATTCTCATCGTTGTTTTCAAACCTCTCTGTGGCCTTGCCCTCCCAATCTCTAAACTCCTCCTCTCAGATATCCGTGCTCCTCTCATTCTGGTCTCTAACTTAAATTGCTCCACTGTTGGTGGCCATTTTTTTTAATTACCTAGGCCCCCATTTTCTGGAATACTTTCCTATGTCTTTTCCTTGATATCCTCCTTTTCAGGGAATCATTAAAATTCTTTTCTTTGACCAAGCATTTGGTTATCTGACACAATATTTCCTTATGTGGCTCACCATTATGATTTGTTTTGTAATACTCCCCTGAAGTGCCTTGAGACATTTCATTGCATTAAAGCACTGTATAAATGTAGATTGTTAGAATTCAAATAAATTAAAACCATTAAGTGAATGCAAAAAGATAGAAGTGTAAAATTTTTGATTACTTGTTTGGATCCTTTCTATCAGGTTTCTGACAATCTGAGAATAGAAACTTCTCCAACTAAAATGACAGGTGATGAGCTGTAATGCATTAAGTCTCCTGTCATCCTTGACTTCTGCACATCTTTTGGCATAATGGTTACACCAGCTTCCTCAAATATTCTTACTCCATTTTCCAGTTTCATGAAGTGCAATCACTTAGTTCTATTATTGCTATTTAAATGGAATATTTCTAGCAATCACATCCCACTCCCATATCATTACCCTTGGAAATCCTCAAAAAATATATTCTTGGCCCAAGATCTTTCTGATCAAAGTTCTCTTCATTGATCCCCTTTATCTCAAGACATTGAGCCATTGTTCACCTCTACACCAACTTTCTGGATTCCTTTGTTAAATCTGTTCTTCCAGTACCTAGATTTGGGAGAGCTATTACTTTCATTGGTTAAACATTTAGGCCAGATCATGCATTCACTTCCCTTACTATAGAATATTAGGAGCTTCTAGCTGTTTAAGTCATATAAGGAACGGACACACTAGCACAAACAGTTAATATTGCCTATAAACTATGTACAGAAGTACAGACAATCAAGCTTAGTTTGTACCTCCAATGAGGTCTCAGTCCATGTGATCTGACATCACAGTGACACAGTTACTAAACATGTGTTTAATGAATCGTTATTAAAGTATTTGTATAGTTAACCCTTTACTTCACATTTTCTGCTGACTCCATTTCTCTCTCCGATTATTGCCTCAGTATTACTGGACTGTAACAAAATGTTCTGATTAATCTGTAATTACCTAACAATTAGGAAGCTTGCCTACATGCACTTCTATAACAATATACACTTTTTTCCCTATCTTGGCTAATCTGCTGTTGAAACTCTTCTACATATGTGTCTTTGTTACCTGTGCAGACTCAATTGTTCGAATTATTGGCTGATCTCTCATCCTCATTCTATTTGTTAACTAATGCATTATCTATATTAATATACTACTCAGAATACCATGAGCTCTTTTGTTATTAGGTAGCTGTGCATGTGGTACCTTATCAAATGCTTTTTTGTAATCCAAATATATAATATCTACTGGTTCCCATTTGTCTCTTCTGCTTGATATATCCCTGAAGAACTTTAATAAATTCCTCAGCAAGATTTCCCCTGTGTTCTATTACAACTGTCCTTGATTATCTTGTGTATTTCTAAGAGTTTTGTTATTACATCCTTTATAATGGACTCTAACATATTTCCAATAACAGATGTTAAGCTAACTGTCCTGTAGTAATCATTTTTTGTTTAGTCTCTGTCCCCTTTAAGTAAGGGTCAGGCTATCTCTCTAACTATTTTCTATAAAATTATATGATGCAACCCATCAGGTACAGGATTCTCATTGGTCTTTAAGTCCAACTACTGGCGTTTTCTGAGGATGGAAATACCAGAATAGATAAGAGACTACCGGTAAATTTGTTGTTTTAGGACTTTGAGAAAGCTTTAAATGAAGTTCCACTTCAGAGGTTATTGTGCAAATCGAAGGACATATGAAGTTGTCCACTGTGCTGGAGAAAACAATGGCAGAGTATTTTTTAAATGATAGATTGGGAATGTTGATGTACAATGGTACCTGGCTGTTCTTGTACACCGGTCATTGAAAAGAGACATGCAGGTACAGCAAGCAGTTTGGAAGGAAAATGGTATGGAGTCCTTCTTTGCACCAGGGTTTGAGCACAGGAGCAAGGAAATCTTACCGAAGCTCTACAGGACCCTGATGGGATCACTCCTGGAGTATTGTGCGCAGTATTGGTCTCCTTACCTAAAAGAAATACCTGCCATATATGGAGTGCAGCAAAAGTTTGCCAAACATTGCTGGGATGGTAGGCTTTCTATATGAGGGGAGAATGGGTTGACTGGGCTTGTATTGAAATGTATAAAATTCTAACAGGGCTGGACAGACTGGAAGCATGGATAATATTTCCGCCAGCTGGGGCGGGGTCCAGAATGAAGGGTCATGGTCTCATGATACATAGTAGGCCTTTTCGGCAGAGATAAGGAGAAATTTCTGCATTGGAGAGTGGTGAACCTACGGAATTGTCTATCATAGAAGGCTTCTGAGGCAAAATCGCTGGATATACTTGAAAGTATAGATAGATTTCTAGAGGCCAAAGATTTAAAGAGTGAGGAGAGAGAGCAGGAGGATGGTGTTGTGATAAAGGATCAGTTACAATTATGTTGGATAGCAAAGTGATGGACCAAATAGCCTACTCCTGTTCCTATTTTCCACATTTCTATGATATTCAATAGCATTAGCATTGCTGAATTCCCCCATTGTCAACACCCTGGTGGTTATGTGCGGCTGGAAACTCAACTTGACCAGCCATATAAATACTGTGGCTATAAGTGCAGGCTAGGAATTCAACATGAACACACTTCCTGACTTCCCAAAGCTTGCTTACCATCTGCAAGACATACATCAGGAGAGTGATGGAATGCTGTTCACTTGTGTGAATGACTGCAGCTCCTACAACACTCAAGAATTTCAATACCATATAGAACAAAGTTTGACAGTCATTGCATCTAGCAATTTAAACATTCACTCCCTCTTATACCAGCACACAGTGGCGGATGTGTGTACCTGAAAAAGAAAACCATCTTGATTTTAACCTCTTGCCGTCCTTCAATGGCATGGACATTTTCTAATCCAAGGAATGGTTTCTTGTAGTAAGATAGCTTGAAAGATTTATGATCAGGACAACTCCTATGGCTCACCTAACATTCTTTACAACTCTAGGATGCAAATTACCTGATTCTGGAGATTTGTTACTCTTTACTTGCATTACTTTTTTCATTGTTATTTTGCGGCACTTGAGATGAGCTCCTATCTGTTATTCAATATTGGCTCATTTGGGACGTATGGTATGCTACCCGCTTCCTCTGAAATAAAGAAAACTTATTTGATATATGCAAGGCCCTGTGCATGGCATTATTATTCCAATTATTAAAATATATTTTCCACATAGAAAATTAAATAAAATAGGTTTTAAAATCTCTATAAGGAAATCCTTTCTTTTTAATTTAAAACTATTCTGGTCATCAGTAGGTCATCAATTTCTTTAAACTAATGGTTCTCAGACTGGGTTCTGCAGAGGTCCTCAGGGGATCTGTGATACAGTTCACATGATGCAAGCGGGCAATCACTGAGGATGCCCTAGTCAAGCAGCAGCAAGTGAACTGCAACTGAAGGTATAAACTGCTGTGCCTGTTCTCCAGCACTCTCCTTTAGTCCTGTCTCTGGCATTCTGCTGTCTATGTGCTGTGCTTCCCCAGTGCTCTGCTCCTCTCCCATCCCCTTAGTTTTTCTGGATGCTTTGTTCTCCATGTACTTCTGATGAGGATAGACAGTCTTTACAGAAAGACCAACTGCAACTTTCCCAATGATCTTTGTGAGTAAAGATCATCTGTTTTCCCAAAAGCATTACTAATATATCATTCACATGCAGTGATTTCATGTTATGAATTCCATTATTAAAGTTGAGTTGGTGTTTCTTTATGAAAAGTTGTCCTTCAACCCAAAACATTTGAGATTTATTGCTTTAAGCATCTCAAGATCAAGCTGGAATTATTTATGATCTAGAATGGTGGAATGGGCAAGGAAATGGGGAGAAAGCAAAGGGATGGCACTAGGTTTCACTGATCGTTCAAAGATCTAGCACAGGCATAACTGGCCAAATGTCCTCCCTTTTGCGCAGTGACAATTCTATGAAAATGCACCTGAAAGACATTGGTGCATTCTGATAAAATGTGCAGATATCTTCAAACATCATCAACATTTAAATGATACTAACATATCTCTGTCATTAGCTACAGTGAGTCAAATGTAGCATTGTTTTCCACCTCCCCAGTGTTTCACATTTAAAATAGTCATCTTTGTCATTGCATATAGGCATCACATATTTAAAGAAGTTTTAACAGGGCATATAAATAAGTTCAAGGTAATCAGGTAGAGTCAACATGGTTTGGTGAAAGACAATTTAAATTTGACTAATCTATTGGAGTTCTTTGAAGTAGTAATATATCCTCTGGATATAGGGGATCTGGTGGATGCACTGTACTTGGATTTATACAAGAAATTTGATGAAGTGCCATATCAAAATTAATTGCAGCAAATAAAAGCTCACAGTGTAAAGACAGTATATTGACATGGATAGAAGATTGGCTAGCTAATAAGTAGCAGAGGGTAGGTGTAAGTGGGACTTCTTCAGGCTGGCAAGATTCAATGAGTAATGTGCCACAGGGATCGGTGCTGTGACTGCAACTGTTTACAGTTTTTGTAAATTACTTAGATGCATATTATTGGTCACCTTCTTTAAGGAAGGACATAAACGCACTGGAAGCAGTTCAAAGACAGTTTATGAGACTACTACCAGGAATGGGCGAGTTGCTTTATGATGTAAGGTTGGACAGGCTAGGCTTGCATCCACTGGATGGATGGATCCACTTAGAAAAATAAGAGATGACCCGATTGAAATATATAAAATTCTGAAGGATTTTTACCATGTAGGTGTGGAGAGGACGTTTCCTGCTATTGGAGAATGTAAAACTAGCGGTCAAGGATTAAAAATGAGGCATCGCATATTTAAAACAGAAATGTGATTACATTTTGCCTGAGTATCATGAGTCTATAGAACTCTCTCTCCCTGAAAATGTGGTGGAAGCAGAGTCATTGATTATTTTTAAGGCAGAGATCGATAGATAGCTCTGTTTTGTTAAGCAAGAGTTTGAAAGGCTTTGGGGTAGGCAGGAATGTAGATTTGAGGTTACAATCAGATTATTCATGATCTTTTTGAATAGCAGAGCAGGATCGAAGAACCAAATGACCCAATCCTGCTCCTGATTCAAATGTCATATGTAACAAAGCCACAATTTAATTACCTTATCTCTATCAACAAAAGAGATCTATCAACCACATTCATTCATATTTCTCAATCTTTAATATCAAAACAAAACTTCTTCAATAAAGATGCAATAATTGGTTAACATACACAGTCAGCAATACGTAAGCATAAATTCTTATCCCTATCAATGTTTCCAAAATACAAACGTACTCACTTCAGGTAAAGAGGAAATAAAAATGGATTTATCTGCAGGGATTGGCTTTTTGAAAACAAAAACTCTTCGGCCAATGGGTTATTCTTGAGGATAAAAGGATAAAATGTATCATGCTCCAGAGTATGTTGCTCTTTTCTGGCATGTGTGGTCAAATCACAAATTTCACAAGGTCTTGCAGACACAGCTTGTTCAGAAAGTACAATCTTCAGATGTTCTTTCAATCACTCTTTTAAAAAAAACAAAAAGCTTTTACTCTGAAATGACATGAGAGTTTCTTTTCAGAAATGGGAGAGATCAGCTGGGCAACTTAGTCGTAGCAAGCTTTTCTCAAACTCAGTTTGTTCATAGCAGGTTTCCCTCCAACTAAACCAGATTAAAGAAGAACCTCTCCAAGCCAGTAACTAGACAGCCCAGTAGTAGTCTTCAGCAAAGCAAACAGTTGACACCAATCAAATGATTTCTAGAAAGCCTTGTTTAAAATAAATCTTAATGTCCACAGTGAACTTTCAACGACCTCTTTTAAAAAGAATCCACTTCAGGCATGTCCACTAAGTTTCACATAAAATTCTTCAAATCTTAAATCCTCCAAGCTATGTTAAGTATGAAGCTTCTTCATAACAGTGTTTACATTAAATCCATGCCCGCACTTCTAGCATTCTGACCAAAGTTAAAATGTATTGTCCAGGTGTCCCACTGTTAACCATCAAACCACTTCAATAACATCCAAACAAGTCTTCATTTTTCTTACCAATGGACATCCCAGCCCATTGTCCAGCATGCTCATTCCCTCATTGTTGACAGGCAGCAGTAGTTATCTATAACTTCAAATTTAGGCCTTTCCCAAAGAGGCTTCTGCCTATATTTAGTAGGAATATGCACTCAATACAATTCCCTCTCTGTATGGCTCTATATATCCATGAAGTATGGCTCTGATGACAAAAGAAATTCTGAAGGAAAAGAACCTAAATTCTCCAATTTAGCTTCATACAAAATTATGAACTGACTCTATTTGATGTTTCTTTTTGTGTGTAATTTGGAGTGACTTGACAATCCCCAGAATGTTTTACGTAATTTTGAAATGGTCTGAATGGGGACTGTTCGACAAGTACTGAGATGTGTTGCCTTGACAAAGTAGCACAATGATAAGAATGCACCTTATCTGAGTTTCATTAGACTGGGACGGTTTCCCTGAAAATAATTGATGGAACTTTGAATTTAGCTGTTTGTATTTGCTCACTCAGTAGTGACCATGAAGCAGACTGTATTTACTTTAAATGTTCTACCTGAAGTAAGGCATTCAGGATGTACAAAAAATATTTTAAACAATTTTCGAGAAGTGTTAAGAATGGAATTAAAAAGTTTCTTTTTCAAAGAACAAAACATGTCCTTTAAAAGATGATATAAAATGTAAACAAAATACCAGACTTCAGTTTTATTAACCAGAGTACTTGCAAATAGTCTACAACCACAGAAAGCTTTTTTTAATTAATGAATGCACTTATTTGTAGTTTGAGTTACTGATATTGAGCCAAGTAAGGATGCTGAATATTAGGACCAGTGACTGACAGCTTTGTGAAAGTAATAGGCTTTCAGGAATGTTCTTTATAAACTGTAAGAAGAAAAGTGAAGAGATTTAGGGTTAATTTCCAGAGCTTGGGTCTAGTTGGCTATAAGCTTACCTTCCAGTTTTGGGGTGCAATAAAAGAGAAAGCTTGAGAGGCCAGAATTAGAGTAACATAGAACTCTTGGAGGTTTGTAGGACCAAAGGCAGTGATGGAGGTGGTGAATGGTGAGGCCATGAAGGGATTCGAACATGAGAATTTTAAATTTTAAATCCTAATTCTTGCATAAATGTATAGCCACTTGATCAAAGTACTAGTATTTTCTTTGTCACTGAGAAACCCTGCTGCTGTGAACTATTGGCTTCAAAAGGGGTATGGGAGAAAGAAAAATAAATTGCTTCTTAGATATTCATGAGATTGCTAACTATATGTAATGGGCAAGGTGATCTAGAAGTTTACGGCTTCAAAACTCTCTACACATGAACAAATGTTATGATTTTTCTCCATTTTCCTGTCTAGGCTTATCGCCGTCAACATACAATGCATTTACAACACAGGCAACTGCTATTTCAGCTGAATCTGCAGCTCTCTATCAGCAACCTATGTTCATCAGTCCACGAACTCTTCCACCTTCTACAGCATTCTACCCAGCTGGTGCCCAGTTCTATGTGAACTGTTCTGCATTCTATCCAAGGTGAGAATTTACATTGAGAAGCTTGTAATAATAACAAACGGTATCATGTCTAATTAGTGAGTCCATTAATCATGTACTGTAGGATGGCTATTGCAAAACCAGAAAAGGTAAGTTCCTTCTTCAATGACACACTGTTGCTGTTGCTTTGACTCAGTCAAAGCAATCTTCCCTGAAACAATAGCACATGGGTTCAAGCCATGTTCCAATGACTTGAACACAATCTAGGCATGTATTTCATTGCAATGCTAAAGAAGTACTATACTGCTGAAAGTGCCTTTCTTTGGATGAGACCAAGGCCCGTTCTCCCCCCTGGATGAATGTAAAATATCCACAATATGACTCAAAAAAAAAAGTTATAAGGAAGCATTCCTTGCATCCAGCTAACATTTAAAACAGGACCTGGACATTTATTTTGTTGCTGTTAATGGCACCTTGCAGTGTGTAAATTTGTTGCCCTGTTTCATTGGTCACACGCAATAGTGATGAAGTATATGAGCTCTGACCATGTGGAATCTATATGGCTAGAGCTGAGAAACAGTCAAGGCAAAATACATTAGTGGGCATTTTATATAGACTCCCAAACTGGAGGGTATGTTGGGAATGCATTAAACAGGAAATCAGAGATGCATGCAATAAAAGAACATCTTGTAATTCTGTGTGACTTTAATTTGCAAATAGATTGGGCAAATCAAGTTAGTAACAGTACCATAGATGAAGAATTCCTGTATACAGGATGGTTATCTAAAGCAAAATGCTACGAAACCAACTAGAGAACAAGCCATCCTAGCCTGGTATTGTGTAATGAGAAAAGGACAATTGGAAATCAAGTCGTGTGAGGCCTCTTAAAGATCAGAGACCACAGTATGATGGAATTCTTCATCAAGTTGGAGAGTGATGTAGTTGATTCTGCGAATAGAGTCCGTAATGTAAACAGAGGAAACTATGGTGCTTTGGGACATGAGCTACTTGTGATAAATTGGGGAACATTATTTAAAGGGATGATAGTGGAAAGAGCACATAGGTGAATTGCAACAATTGTTTATTCCTGTCTGGCACAAAGTAAAATGGAATATTGACCAAATCATGGCTTAACGGGAAATTAGACATAGTATTTGATCCAAGGATGCAATACTAATTGGCAAGAAAAACAACAGACCTAAAGAGTTTAGAACTCAGTAAAGGAGGACAAAGAAATTGATTAAGAAATGAAAAATAGAGTATGAGAGTAAGTTTGCAAAGGACATCAAACTAGCTGAAAAGTTTCTATAAGTATGTGAAAAGAAAAAGATTGGTGAAGACAAATTTAGATCTCTTACAATGAGAAACAGGGGAATTTGTAATGGGGAACAAAGGAATGGCTGACAAGCTAAAAACATACTTTTGTCTGTTCACAGAGGAGGACACAAATGGCATGTCAGAAATGTTGGGGAACACTGAGTTTAGTGACAGGGAGATACTAAAGGAAATCAATATTTGTAGGGAAATGGTTTGGGGAAACTGATCAGATTAAAGGCCAATAAATCCCCAGGCCCTGATAATCTATATCCCAGAATACTTAAGAAAATGGCACTAGAAATAATGGATGCATTGATGGTCATCTTCCAAGGCCGTCATAATCTGATACACCTCAATCAGATTGCCCCCCAGTCTTCTCTGCTCCAAAGAAAACACCCAAGCCCGTCCAACTTTCCTGATGACTTAAATTTTGCATCCCAGGCAACGCCCTGATGAGTTTCCTCTGCACTCCATCCGGTGCAATTGCATCCTTACAATTGTGCTATGTCCAAAACTACACATAGTACTTTAGCTGTGGCCTAACCAAAGTTCTGTACAGCTCCAACATAACATCCTTGCACTCATAATCTATGCTTCAACTGATAAAGGCAAGTGTCCTTATACCTTCTTAACTACCTAATTAAACTACCCTGCAACCTTCAGGAATTTGTGGACAAACACCACAAGATCCCTCTGTTCCTCCAAACTTCCTAGTGTCTTACCATTCATTGAGTACTCCCTTGTCTTATTACTTCTTCCAACGTGCATCAGCTTACACTTCTCATGGTTACATTCCATCTACAACTGAACTGCCTATCTGACAAATCTGTTTATATCCTCCTGTAACCTAAGACCACCTTCTTCACTGTCAACCATCCAGCCAATCTTCGTATCATTAGCAAACATACTTACCATTTCTCAGAAGATTTACTCTTTTCTGTTTAATGTATGAGACTAGTTTTAAAAACATCACTGAAAAACCAACTCCACTCACAAAACTGGCCACACTACCAGATGGGATCAATTGCAATGGTGAGTTTTGTCAAATTGCACCCGTTTGTGGGCCTTTCTGGGGCTTTGGAAATCAGGTGATATTTTCAAACAAGCACAATAAGAGGCATATTTTAGAAGTGTTATGTATTTTAATTTCAATTTACTGAGAAACTGACTACAGTATATTTATGTAACCAATACATAGCTTTGTGTAATTTTTGAAGCCCTTCAATAATTTAAAATTAGGTTCCTCACAGTCAATGGATTAAACACAGATTTAATGATGCTTTTTTCTGTGATAGACTCATCCTCAGCTAAATTAATCAAATCTCACCAAGATACCTATCTTGGATATATCAGAAACTCTTAAATGCATATTATTTTTTAAAAATGTGTTTTAAAATACTGTCCACATGGGCTGGTTCCTAGAGTTTATCTTCAAGTATTTGAGGGGAATCAAACAAAATCAAAACACGACTTAAACGTAGCACATTTTTCAGATCTAGATGTGGAACCCTTGCATATCTTTCAGAAAAAAGTTACATCTGCCACCTTACATTCCTAATTTCATTTCAATTGACTTTTAAAAGTGAATCTTCTAATTCCAATGGTACTCTAACTGGTAAAAACCAAAAGAACCACAGAAGCTGGAAATCTGAAACAAAAACAGAAATTGCTAGAAAAGCTGAGCAGGTCTGGCAGCATCTGTGGAGAGAAATCAGAGTTAACATTACAGGTCCAGTCACCCTTCCTCAGAATGGTGGTGATTGTTCAAACAAATTTGTCTCCTTTTGCGTCATGGAAAAGGAGTATACCAGGACATCCTGGATTTTGAATAACATACCACTGAAAATGTAAACAAGGACTGTCTGCCAAATGCAAAGGCAAGTATAAGAAATAATTTACAGGTCAGAGGAGGCTCTTCAGCCCATCACATTTACACCGCCTCTTTGAAAGAACAATTCCTTCATCTGACACCCTTTTAGTTTTTTAAAGTGTTAAACTAGTTCTGTTTAAATATGTCAATGGCTGGTGTTTCCTCCATAATTTTTGACAGAATTTCAATACATTTTGTAATCATTTGTCAGGCTCTCTTGTAACTGTGGTATCCAACAGCTGCGAAAACTTTTGTTTCTTCCAAGGTTATTACTACCAAGGCTGGAAAGTACACTATCTCTCTCTAGTCCCATCATTGTGTTGGTCACAAAATAAATCTAAATGCTTTATCCAGTTACCATTGTCACCAGTTATGTATTTGAACTACATCAAGCTTGGATTGAACAATAAACATCAACTAGGTTTCTTTAATGAACATCAAAAGTATTGATTTATTGTGAAAATAGTAGATATTCAACAAAAATAACAGTTTAAAATAGGAAAATATAATATTTTACCCTCTAAATAATCCATAACACACAAAACAATGACAAGAAATAATAAAGAACTTTCTCTGCATTAATTTTGGGGGAATAACTTTGGCCAATAATTGTTTGTTCTTGAAGGAAAGTGTGAGATGTTTAGAATGTTTTTAAGGCATATGTCACTAAACAAAGGCCGTTGCCACTGGGATCGTTTTAGATGCTGTTTATTCAGAAATCACAAAGAATTCAAAGGGATTTTAGAAGAACAGCTGGATTGGTTTCAATTATTACATTTGAACTACTAAAATCATTTTATCAGAAAGGCAGAGGATGTGCGAGGTAGGTTTTCTCTCTGAGGACTGTACCTGAACTGAGCTCCAAATAACACCTAAAAGAAAGCCATGTAGCCAGGCATGTGATTTCCAGTAAACAACCAGTAGCTTAAACCATGTGACTTCCACGAAGTAGCTTTAAAAATATGCCTTTTTATTGACCATATTTTTGAAAACCATTTTTTCCAGATGCACCTCTGTCCAAAATTGTTTAATATGAATCTTAAGTGAATAAAGAAGTACCTTTATAACAATGGTCCTGATGTTTGAATTTCCATATTTCAAAGGACCTGCAGAATGAGTTAGATAAAGTAAAATGGAATAAGTTGGAAATCTTCAGCAATTCTGATAGCATCTGTGGTTAGAGAAAGAGTTAAAATTGCTGATATTTGAATTTTGATCAACACAGTTCTGACTTGAAACATTAATATAGAGTCTCTCTCCAAATGTGATGCCAGATATTTAGTAGCTCCAAGATTTTTCTGTTTATTTCAGATTTCAAGTATCTATAGTATTTTGCTTTTGTTGGATGAAAAGCGTTGTGTGGAGCATAAATTTACCACTACATTTGGATATGCCAGTTACAGGATTTTGGCTTTCATTGGCTGTTACACTCATTGATACTGTAAAATGACTGAGTCCAAAAGGGAAATCCACTCTAGTAATAGCTGTCCAAAATGATGTCACACCAAGTCTATGAATAAGTTTGGGGTGGTTGGGAGGGGAGGATGGTGTACTTTTTTTAAAATACCTTTTTGTCCCTCCAGCACTGGGTTTGTATCTATTCCAGGCTGTTGTAAAAAATTTGTGTCCATGTCTGGAGCAGTTTACAAAATAATTATGTGGTCTTTTTGTGTTATTTTGGGTTCATTAGAAAATAATTTGTCCACCTTTTATTGTGTTGAAGATAACAAATAGATAAATTCAGAGAGGTGAGTAGGTACTGCTTTATCTTTCATACTATGAACAACATTATTTAACAAATAACTGCCTACATCTACAGTGGGAACTCCTATTTCCTCAGTCTTGTGCTTTAGAC